AGTTAAATCTAGTCTTATCAATTAGTTAGATTCTAGTAATATTTTGGGATTGTGGGTCAACTTGCATTAGAAATCGCTCCGCTCGTATATTTGAATATGAGTTTTTTTTGTCCCTAATCAAATAGCCATCAACAATTTTTGATACTTCACAAGACAAATGCCATTAACTTAATTAGCACCTTATTTCCTACTTTTTAATATCCATAGTTTTTCCCCATTTGTAAAACTTATGTTCCATTTTACTATTTATTAATATATTAGAGACTCTAAAACCAAAACGATAAGAAAATTATCATAAGTCATTTCAAAAATATATATTGAATGATTAAGTTAACAATCTGAAATAGACCATAATAATCAAGAACCAAAAGCTCAAAAACTGAATATTTAATAATCGAATATTAAAACTACAGAAAATAAAACCCATATAAAACTACCGCCATTCCAAGCCAAATCCGAACAACCCGAATTAAATATATTTTGATGCTATAGATCATGAAAATAAACTACATATCTTTCGTACTCGAACTTTAAAACGAAGACTCGAAGTTTCTTCGTGAAACCATATTAATTCAACATTTCACCTATATTGTCTTGTACTGATGTTTGTATTTTAGTGACCACAATGAATATACTAGCCGCACCGCTTCAAATACTTATTGCGTGTTATCGTTTCATCAATCGATCCATATGAGTTTAATGACCCCTAAAGAGAACCTACAAATACAAAAATGCTCACCCATAAGGACATGCGCAATGGACCTGTTCTAAATACTGTCAAACAAATCTAAACATATTATCTTGGAATGTCAAAAAAGACATGAAAATATATGTGAATGCGAATTGTACTCCACCGATCCTGCAATAATAGCTGTCCTATGTCAAATACAAAAGTATGTGTTATAATTAAACTAGGGTTAAATTTTAATAAACCGTATGGGATGTCGAACTTGTATAGATTTATTATATCTAGAGATGGACAAGGATATGATGCAACAACATCGTCTCATTTGATGTTTCCGAGAAATTTGTTTTCTTATCATTGTCTAACTGTTAGGGTTATTCTCATTTGCATAGTATATAAACTGTACGTGTTCAATTGTAGATAAGTTAATTTTGACTAACCAAACAATAATTTGTCTGCTAATTGCTCGACACTTGAGTCATATATACGGTGTGGTCCATGGTAATATTTATGTCTAAACGACCCGCGTCGTTCGTCTAAACATCGCACAATTAATTAAGAAAAGTGTTTCATCTTAACACGATAAATCACATCTTAAATTTGTAACAAGACATAGAATATTGCATGATATACGTATTATGATATTATTATCATATATTGTAAGTTTGGTGAGATGGAAACAATTGCCTGAAATTACGCACCGTTACAATTTTGTAATTGCGATTATCTTTATGATAAGTATCAGTATTTATGTCATAACGTAAGCACTTTTGTCAAAATCGAAAACGAAGATGATACTAAAAGATAAGGATATAATATCATACAAATAATTGGTATTATGCGTAAGAATCTAGACATCCAATTTGAAGTAGAACCCCTGCAGAAGAAAAACTATCTTATTTTAGCCATCTATGAACTAAACAATTTAACAATGATCCAGTGCATAACCCATATTTTATATTTTGAAAATTTCATACGAATGAAAACAATATGTTAGTTGTCGATAGCATAGTAAGCTTTTTGTGTGTGCAAAGCATGGTTAGTTTGAACAGCCAAAGAAGGTTATTTGAGTGTTATCGGAATTAGCATTATTTCGAGGAATAATTTACATTTCATGAATCTGCAGCGAATATTAGTTGCAAATTGATACTTTGTTAACAACTTGTGTATTTAGCAAAAGCCGAAAAAAGAACAGTAGCAAACAAAATTATTAAATACGGTATTTCATAAAGTACGTTTGTGATGTAATGATAGGCAGAACGAAAAATAATGGCTCACTAAAAATAAAACCATGCTCTCATTATACATTATCTTATTCTCGAATCTTCATTAAGCTCTTAACTTCTTTTGAGTTGTTTACAAAAAGTCTTCTCTTTACTTTAGCTTTAGTAAGCTTGTTTGGCCAAACTCTTTTTGAATATATATTGTTGAGAACACTTACGATTGCATAAAGCCAACTAAACCATCACCATACTATTGATGTCTACTAAGTGTTCTATGGACAGCGGTTTATAATCTCATCAATTAATTAATTTATATCCATGATAGTTCAACCGATCACACAAAAGATTATAAAAAATCGGACAAATTTAGTATTTTGTCCAAAATTCTCCACTTAGAGAGTTAACCGACCGTAATTAAAACCCATAGAAAATGGTTTTTAATTTGAACCGATATGATTAAATAACACTGTGTTTCGTAACTGATAACTAAAATAATGATCCATTGTGATGTATACGGCTCAACTATGCAGTATGATAATTCCATGATGAAAAATCGTTTAAATGTTGATTAGTTCTTGTAAAATATATATAGTGCTCGACAATGTCGTAATCAGTACAATATTAATCACTTACCAACCTGAACTATATATGTTATATATTTCGAGGGGCCACGCCGTTTATTTGTCTGGTTACATATTCATGCTATTATTTAATCTTGTGCGTGTGGTGTTTCTTGTCTAGTTTCCACTTATACACAAATATCATCTGGAACTATTTTTGAAAAATATTATTCGAGAAGAATATCGGTAATCTGAGGCTTACTATCTCCAAATGACACTAGAAACCATTATTTTCTTCATCTTTTTGTAAATAATCATGATGTCTATTGAAATTTACGGGCAGTATCCTTGAAAGTGGTTAGACTGGGCACATAAACAACTTAAGTGGTGCCTTACGTATGTAGGCAGCTGTGCATAGATGATTTGTCATATGACAATGTTTATCATCAAAGTTTATGATGTGAGATCTAGTGTTAGCAACTACTAATGTAGTTCTTGCAAAAAGAAAAAAAAATTACAAATGTAGCAGACCGTTAATATTTTGGTTTTGAGTTGTTACTTAAATCGAAAGGTCTTACTTTAATTTGTGATTATAGTAATGATCCTTCACGTTAATGGCCCCGTACATATATGCATATATAATCATGTAACCTAAGCTACTCTTAAGAAAGATACAATAACTTGGCTTTTGGGATTTTGTATTTTTCCTCTAAATGGATTCTTTCAATTCTTTTTAGTCTATAATGTTTGTTTTTCTGTTAAAGAAGTCTATAATGTTAAAAACCAGCTTTCACAAAAAAGAAGTCTATAATGTTTCATTTGAACGCTGCGTATCTTGTTGCACAAAAAAGGAACACTTTACTAGTAAGATGTTTTTGCAGATTATTTTGTATCTCTTAAAAATAAAGTCAAATATTTCAAAACTAACTATAACTATTTAATCAGTAGTGATAGTCCAGTGATGACAAATGAAATAAATCTAATTAGACGAATCTTAGTTTAAACTCTAGTAACCACATGAATATATTTTTAATAGATTTGGATTTAAAAATTAGAATGTATTTTTTAATAGATTTGGATTTAGATTTTTTTTTTGTTGAAAAGAAATTAATGACTGTTTTATATGATTACATATTTCTTTTAAACTTCATTTGTCCCGAATGAGTTTTTGTCAAAATTATTATATTTTTCTTTATATTAATTTACTTTTTGCGGGACACATGGGGTTGAGATCAAATGATTACTTGGGAGGGGGATGGTGCAATGCATCAGGCTGATGATGTGGAAGTTAATATGTGTGAGTTTATGGGCAAAGGAAAACGAAAAGAAAGAGAAACCATAATGAGGTAACGCAGACATAGCCGCCATTTCCACTTCTCACTCCCACTTACAACTTCTCCTTTTGGGCAAGTTTTCTACATCAATGCTCGTCTTAATCACCATTAATCTCTCCATTACCCTCTCTACTCATCATTAATACATTGAAGCTCACTATATTTCAAATATTGCTATTCTAACTTCAAAGAGAGAAAGGACATTATAAGAGATTTAATTACATACTTATAAAATAAAACTTACAATATAACCTCTTTAAATTAATACTTTATTAATTAATATATACTAAAAATCTCTATAACATAATATAGTTTATAGTCTCAAATTGAGTTTTTGGTTCAATTAATATATCGATAAATTAATAATCTATATAAATTAATAAAAAGTTATAGTTTTGGTGTATCTCAACATTATTAATTTATAGAGGTTTCATTGTATTTTAATGTTTGACTTTTTAGTTATAGCTCTTTAATTTTTATAAATAATATTTCTCATGAAATTTTCTTTGTATCTGGAAAAATATTTAATATTTATTTTTCTGCTTTAAAAAAATAACATTTTCCTAATATACCACTATAGGTTTATATATATATTTTCATATTCATATGGAAACTAAATTTATGTATAGAATAAAGATACAACGGAAATAAAAATATTTTGGATAAAATTGATAAACTTTAAAATAATCAGCATTATTAAAATTAATAATATACCTAAAATATTATTTTAAAAGAGAAAAACAAATAAAACTATTTAATTAAAATATAAATTTATTTAGAATTTATTATATTTTAAAGAAAAAATGATGTTGATCATTGGAGATGCCTTAATACATAAAAATTTTTGAAAGAATAATCCATTAAAATTTGCAATTATCAATTAGGAGTTAGAACTGGTTATAGACTCTAATTATTACCGTTTGAGCTAGCTAACATTTCTATTTAAGAAAAATAAAAAGAGTAAAACAAAATAGATACTGTAGAGACTATAAATAGGATAGAGTAGAAGAACTTTAAACCTCTTTCAATCATCAACTACTCGCCTTCTCCAACTTTTAAAACTCATCATAAATAATAAAGTCTATTTCTCTTTCCTTTTAAACCCAAATCCTATAAACTCTCCTAGCTTCTCTGTTCATTACTTATACCTCACGTTATACATATAGCTCCTATAAATGCTTCTCTTTCCTCTCGAATAATCTCCCCTCACTACTCTCTATATAAAACCCTTATCTACTTCACTCTTCCTCTTAACTCTCCCTTCTTTCCTCTCTCTCTATATAAAACAAATATGATAGTGGTTAGAGAATACGACCCGAGCAGAGACTTAGCCGGCGTGGAGGACGTGGAGCGACGGTGTGAGGTTGGTCCAAGCGGCAAGCTCTCTCTCTTCACCGACCTTTTGGGTGACCCGCTTTGTAGGATCCGACATTCACCTTCTTTCCTTATGTTGGTAATAATACTAACCAAACAACTCTGTTTTCTTCAACACAAGGATAATATGTTTTTGATAAAGAATTCTAACTTCACAACCTTTGGTTAATCTAAAAACCCATTTCCATAAATATAATTTTATACCACATGATCTTTTTCTGACTCTTGATGAAGATCAAAAGACTAATCATATTATTTTTTCTGAACAAAATATATCAACTAGCTAACCATAATGTTTGTAACTTTTCAATTTATTGATAAATGTTAAGTTTAATATGGTTGTAACAGGTGGCTGAAATGGGTACGGAGAAGAAGGAGATAGTGGGCATGATTAGAGGTTGTATTAAAACCGTTACATGTGGCATAAAACTCGATTTAAATCATAAACCCCAAAACGACGCCGTTAAACCACTTTACACTAAACTCGCCTACGTTTTGGGCCTTCGTGTCTCTCCTTCTCACAGGTAACGTTCCGTTACTCCCACTAATCACTTAACTAAAATAAAATATTTTGATTAATAATAATTTACTGTTTTATGTAATAACTTCTGTTGTGTAATTTTTAATTCGATATTAATTCAGTGAAATTTGAGTCTTATTTAAAGTACTCTTTTAATTATGTTTTGTAGGAGGCAAGGGATAGGGCTTAAGCTCGTGAAGATGATGGAAGAATGGTTTTGTCAAAACGGCGTCGAATATTCGTATATAGCAACAGAAAACGATAACCAAGCGTCGGTTAATCTCTTCACCGGTAAATGCGGTTACTCCGAGTTTCGTAAACCGTCTATCTTGGTCAACCCGGTTTACGCCCACAGAGTCAACGTCTCGCGACGTGTAACCGTCATTAAATTGGACCCGGTCGATGCAGAGTCTCTGTACCGGCTCCGGTTCAGCACGACCGAGTTTTTCCCGCGTGACATCGATTCTGTACTGAATAACGAACTCTCGCTAGGGACTTTCGTGGCTGTGCCACGTGGAAGCTGTTACGGGTCCGGTTCAGGAGCATGGCCCGGTTCGGCTAAGTTTTTGGACTACCCGCCAGAGTCGTGGGCCGTGTTGAGCGTTTGGAACTGCAAAGACTCGTTTCGGCTAGAGGTTCGCGGCGCGTCGCGGCTGAAACGCCTAGTGGCTAAAACCACACGTGTGGTTGATAAAACGCTGCCGTTTTTGCGACTTCCTTCGATACCGTCCGTTTTTAAACCGTTTGGGCTTCACTTTATGTACGGGATAGGTGGAGAAGGCCCACAAGCGGCGAAGATGGTTAAGTCATTGTGTGGTCACGCTCATAACATGGCCAAGGATGGTGGTTGCGGTGTGTTAGCGGCGGAGGTGGCCGGAGATGAGCCGTTGCGGCGAGGGATACCGCACTGGAAAGTGTTGTCGTGTGACGAGGATCTTTGGTGTATTAAACGGCTTGGGGAAGAGTATAGTGATGGTGTTGTTGGTGACTGGACTAAATCACCACCTGGAGCCTCTATTTTTGTGGACCCTAGAGAGTTTTAGTGTTATAGAATCTTAATTATCATATTACGGGGGGGGGGTCTTGTAAACTCTTAAGAGTATCTTTTTAAGGGTCTTTTTGGTTTTAGAATTAGTCTTCTTTATTGCCTAGGTAATCCATATTTTGTTTGTTTGTGGGGTTGGATTAGTGGTAAGAGGCAATATCTCATGCTTTTGGGTTTGTGTCTTCTTGTCTTGTAAATGGATCTAGCTTTTTAAAAATATATACTTTATCTGTGGCCAAATTAAAATGCCGACCTATTTGGTTTTCCTTTTTAGTTATATTGATAACTTTTAATATTAAAATAATTTAAATATCATACCGACTAGCTATTAGTCTATTATTACATCTCATTAAAGTTTATGAAAGCCAAAACCATGAAATATGTGAAGCTATACTCCCTACATGTTTTAGTTTATTGTATGGAGATTAAGACATTTATATTCGTTTAAAAAATATAATTTTAAAATCATTGAACCAATTATAAAAAATAATATAAATTTTTTTAGTTGAATAGTTTCCGATAAAATTAAAATTAACTTTAAAATTTCAAAATATACTTTAAAATATCAAAACATCTTATATTTTGAAACAACATAAATCTTCTAAAACATCATATAAAAAATGGAGGAAGTATTATATAATTCTTATTCTATTCTGATAATAATGATTAATGTAGATAGATTTATAGCTGAGAAAGTTTATCTCTTATGTATATACAGTTATACACAAACACATGTCATTTATTAATAACAATTTAATCATATATCATATTCTCTAATTCTACTTTGATAAACGCATTGATATGAAAGTGAAGTAATCATGTCTAGTTAAGATGATAATCCTGCAGATGTATGTACAGAATACCCACTAGCAAATCCCATTTAATCTAATACGTTGGTGTATATTAGTTTAGTTGTTCTTTTTAGGTGGGGTTTTGGTTCTTAGTACTTTGCTAATTCGATACTTATCAATGATGGATACTGAAGAATAAAACCACCATTTGATATCGCCAGTCTTACGTGTAAATGACATGAATATCAATGTCATGGACCACGCTTTTTCTCCATATAATGGTCCCAAAAAGATGTTAAACTGATAGATTTATATGTTTCTTTTGTTGGTTTGCAGCAGCATGATTGAAACCTTTGAATCGGGTTTGTGAACGTGTCATTGTCCAAAAGAGATATTGTCGAGTTGTGAGCACCGATCGAGTCAGTGAAAGTTTATACTCACTATAAGGTCTTGTTCATCGCATTATAAGACATGTGGAGGTAACTTACTACTTTGTGTTTGTGGAGTATATTTCAATTATAAGAGATTGTCACTTACGTGGGTATGTTGACCCGAGGTTTTGGGTTTTAGCTGTTGTGTTTTGCATTTCTTGGCTGTTTATGTAAGGATGTTTTGATGGTTAAACGGTTCCTATTTGACCTGGTTTTAATAGGACATGTAAGTATGTAGCCATGCATGTAGATTAGTTATGTTTTTTTTTCTTTGTTCGAAGTGCAATCTCAATGATTCATATGTATGGTGCGATTTTATCTCTTTATTTACTATGTATACACAAACACACAACTATTGAAACTATATATTCTGGTTAAATTTTGCAAACTAGAGACCAAACTCGTGTTTCTTTTTAGATTTTGTAGCTACTAAAAAAGGAATATGGATGGTGTTATAGTCTTCACGGGGTTCTGAAGTGGACGATCATGTGAATCCTAGTGCTTACGGATCTTAAAACAAATATATGCATGTAGGATAAGCACCAGTCGCAACAAGAAAATTTAATGCAAAAGTTTGAGAATTGTATTTTCTATTTTTCGAGCTAGGTTGCATGGAAACTCCGTTCAAGGTCCGTTTCATGTTTCGGAAACGTTTCGGAATCGGAATCTCTTGGAAACTCGAGGAAACTCTTTGGAAACACGTTTCTTGAAAATTTTATTTTGGAAACACGATGAAAACTTGTGTTTCTGATTTGGAAACTCGCGATTCTAATTTGGAAACTCGCGATTCTAATTTGGAAACTCGCGATTCTAATTAGAAACGTATAAAATAAATATTTGGCATTTGATGTTAGTGATTACATGTTTATTATTTTGTATTCTAATATTATATTTTGATATTTGTTATCATTTTAGTATAACGATTTAATTTGGAATGAATTTGCTCCATAGTTTTATCGAATGATAACATGTGTTACTTTTCTATTATTGATTATAATTTTAATAAAAGGGTAATTCTCTAAAATATCCCTCTTTTAAGTTTTTATCACAAAAATAGACCTCAAAAATTAAAATGACCAAAATAGAAATTTTTATTTTGAAAATTTTAAGTTTTCTTAATTTTTTTAAATTCGAAATCATATCCCCAAAACCCCACTCCTCAAATCTAAACAAAAAATCTATAATTAGTTAACCCAAGAGTATAAATGTATATTTAATAAAACATTTAAATGCTATTTTGGTCATTTTAATTGTTAAGATCTATATTTGTGATAAAAAATTTTTAGGTCTATTCTAGTCATTTTCTCTTAATAAAATGTACAAAAAATATTTATATTACTTAATCTTTTTTCTTAGGTAAATCAAACAAAAAAATAAATTTACATGTTGATTAATCATACATATATATACACATATATATATTATAGGCGTTTCCAAAACGTTTCCATTTCTAATTTTTTTTAAAATCATGTTTCCACGTTTCGAAACGTTTCGTTTCCGCGTATCCGTTTCCGATTCCATGCAACCTAGTTTTCGAGAATTAAATTAACGATCCATTGATAATATATAGACGTGATGTCAGGCCACAAATCCACTAGAAAATTAACATCTAGACGTGAGAAAGTTTCACAAGTACTCTAAACTTTGTAGTTTTTACTCTCGTGTAATAAATTTTTGGAATAAATGTAATAAATATTGTTCGTTTATATGATTGACGATCAAAATCTATGCATAAGCTCTTGCACGATATTAACATACATCATGCACAATATTACATTATTATGTTATGTGCAGTAATCAAAAGTCCACGAGAAATGAATTTAACGACTTTGGGCCATAGTCCATTTTTAATTTGAAGTCTCGAGAGACTGATCAGATGCTGCTAGTCCAAAGGACCAAAGCAAAGTCAGTAGCAAACAATTTTCAGAACCATCTACTTCCTCCATTTCAATATAATTCATGTTTTAGATAAAATAATTTGTTTCAAAAAAAAAATATTTTACATTTTCAATGCATCATTTAATGTTAAATTGTAAATTTCAAAATCTTTATTAAAATCCTATTGCTTAAAATTTATGGGAAATAGTACATTACAAAAAATAATATATTGTTAATTAAAAATTTATAAATTATTTTAATGTGTAAAAAATACTAAAACATACATCTTATTGAAACAGAATGAGTATACTATTAAAAAGACTTGCAGTATAAGCTGTTTTGGTTTTTTATTTGTTAAAAACAAGAATATTAATGGAAAATCATAAAAAGTTGAAAAACAAGAAAAAGACTATCATCATCTCATTATTATTTAAACAACTGTTTTTTAACACTTCCACTCTAAACATCATACCAACTAAGGAAAGAACAAAACCACAAAGGTTAGTCATTGCATAAACATTTTAGCAGACCTATAAAAGATGAACATTCTTTCTCTAATGCTTCTTGTTTGTGGAAGAAGAAGACTTAGAGTCATCATTAACAGAACCAGGACTTGAAGTCCCTGAGCTACTCATCATCTCTCCCCCTCTCTCTTTACTAGACCAAAGCTTAGAGAACACTCTAGAAACTCCCAACCCTCCTCCTTTCATCAACTTCCCTTTATTATTATTATTACTCTCTTGCTGTTGATTCTTTGCAAGTCTAAGACTCGCTAACTCACCTCTCAATGTCTTTATATCTTCTGCGTCCCAAGACTCCGTCTCATCTTCAGTATTCGTTGACCTCGAAGCTGGAATAATCTCTGGCGTGCTGTTCCCCGTTGATGATGAACCGTTGTTGTTGGCTCTTGCCTGTTCAAAGAAGAGCACTTGCACCACCACACGCATTGGTAACCTCTCGTTTTGAACTGCGTGTGCGCACGCTTCTACCGAGAGTTTTCTACAGTCCATTAGCCTACAGATTCTCTTCTTCTCACTCTTGTTAATCTCTGGATGTTCCTGATTAGACAAAAATACAAAAACTTGGTTAGCAAGTTAGGGTTTAGGGCAAGTACTTAGGGTTAGGGTTTAGCACTTTCTTGTACCTTAAGAAACATGTCGATCGCGCGATAAACACCATCATGAGACTGTCTTGGAAAGCTTGAAACCATCTCCGCAAGTGTGAGGAACTTCTCAAGAGGTAATTTATCCGAATCTCTCGATCTTTCAGCTAAGTAGCCATCAACAAGCTTCGCAACCGATGCTTTCCTTGTTACACAATCTTCTTCTTCAGAGTGAGATTTCAAGAAAACCTCAACTAACTTCTGCATCAAGTCAACATCATAGAGCATAACATCACTCAAACTAGCCTCATCTAGCCGCTCGCCGACTCTGTTCTTCAGCTCTGTTTCTTCACCACAGCCAAGAAAGATGGAAGCTCGCAGTAACTTAGTCAAGAAAGAGGAAGAAACACTTTGTTTCTCCTCAGGGATCAGCTCAATGATGGAACCAACCAAAGCTCTGTACTTAGCAAAGTCAGTGACCTGAACTGAGCTACTACTTTTGCTGAAACCTGGAACCCTTTTGGTTGCATAAGCATGCAACGCTTCACCGATAACATCAGCTGAGACTTTGCATCTTGACTCTATAGTAGTGATCACTCTTTTATACAAATCTATATGAAGATCACAAAGATCCTCAACCCACCAATCTCTAGGAACACCTTGTGGTCTCCTCAAACCATTATCAAGATTCTTCTTCTTGCTATAAGAATAAGACCATTCAACCCTAGAAGTATCGATGCAAGCCCTAGAGGCGATGGATTCGAGACAACGACACGTTAGCTTCAGCTCTTCAGCGTGTGGAGACAAAGCTCTAGTGGTCTGAAGCATTATGATAGAGTCTTTCCAGCTTTGGAGTATGCTTGAGTTCAAAAACACTTCAATCTTGTAAACAAGATTACCCTTTTCAACGGTTTCTTGCATCTCAAGAAACTCAGCTGCGCAGCGAGCAGCGACTACGTTGTATGCGTTTAGTGTGACGGTCATGCCGTAACAGAACTTAGCACAGATCTCAAATGAAGCAGGACCACCAGGGATCTCTTCTATTACAATCTCATCTACTTCTTGATGAATCTCATTGTCTTCATTTGATGTTGTTGCTATTAGTTTCTGTAAGCGTGCGCTTTTGGATAGTAATGGAAACTGAAACATTGAAATAAGACTTTTAGATTGAATCTTTCTATATAAGGAAAGAAAGATAAGTTTACCTTGTGAAGATAGAACTTGACATCTCCAATGGTTACAATAACATCTGTTGCTAAGTCACTTGATACATACCTTGAAAAACATAAAATAAAGATTATTGATATTTTTAGATCTATAACAAAATATTATTATAAGTTATAACAAAAAAAAAAAGAGGTGAGGATGAGGGTTATTGAAACACAAACCTAACATTGTCTCCTTCAGATTGAAATGAATCAGGTTTGGATCCAAGTTTCATGAACTTCATGATGTTGAGTTAGTGAAGAAGATCTCAAAATAGAGAAGAAACAGAGAAGCAAAGACTCTGGAAAAAAAATGGGTGTCTCACATACAACTTAAAGAAACTTTGTTAATGGAGATGAGAGACTCACATCTCAAAGAGAACATAGAAAAATGGAAAAAAAAAACTTAGAGATGCACAAAGCACCCACTCAAGCTCGAATTTACTGACAGACACACAGAGAGAAAACTCTTTTTTTTTTTTAAACAAAACTCTTCACTCTTTTCTAAGTGCTTCACACATTCACAAACTCAGAGACACGTGAAACCCTTTTTTTTTTATTGTAGTTTGTCCACTATGTGAAAATAAACAAAACGAATCCAAAGTCTCTTTTTTTGTGATGTGGGTTTGATGGCTGATGGTAAAAGCGTCGTCGTTTTTTGGTAGTAAATCTGCAAGAACCAAGAAAATAAAACAGAAAGAATTGAAGATTGCCATTTATTCAATAGACAAGATGAATCAAATCTTTTTGGATGTTTGCTGACAAGAATCTAATGAAAACGAAAAACATTAGTGGCAGAGATCGTTTATAAATAAAAATTAATTTCTTTTTTAACAAAAAAAAAATCAAGAATCAATTCTGATTCTTGAAAAACCCTTAGATCCTGTTCAAGACTTCAATAGAAAAGAAACCAATTGTAAGTAATACCTTTCTTTCTTTCTTTGTTTTCTTCAGCTGTTTGAGGAAACTCTCTTAACCATAAGCCACACACAAGAAGAAAAATCTATTGCTATATAATCATGTAAAGTTTCTTGGAATTAAGGACCGACCCAGCAGATGAGGTTTTATGATAAAAGATTCGTGTTACGCAATCAAACAGTGACCTTTCGTTTTTTAAAAACGATGCTTTTTCTCTGAAAATGAGGAAATTAAAAGAGAAAATGAAAGGAGCCAGAAAAAAAAAATGGAAGAGAGAAAGAGGAAGAGAAGAGGCAAAGCTGCTTTACTGTGGAAATGCACGCGAAATCTGACAAAGCACTTTACTTGAGTGCCCCCTTCTCTTCAGACAAACTTACCTTCTTTTCAGGATATGTTTTTCTTCTTTCCTTTTCACTCTCTCTTTTTTAAAATTTAATTTTGCTTTTTAGTTAATTTCTACTTTTTTTAATTTTAATGCTTTTTTAGAATTAATGAGCTGAAATTTATGAAAGTGTATGTCGTACAAATTTAAAAACCTATTTATACTTTTAGGTTGTTGCAGTAAATCTTCTTGATTAGATTTATGGCTTCAGATTTAATATTGTAATTAATTATATTGATAAATGGTACGATGCATGTGGCAGCCAGTGAGTATCCAATGCATGCTGGCTTCAAAATGTTACAAGTTGATTCATTGCTGTTTCAGCTTTCACATGGTTTATACATCTCACGAATCGGTTCACACTATCCAATAGATTTCCCCCTTTCTATTTATTTATTGTATTTTTGTTGTCCTTGATCAGATTAGCATCTATTTCTGATGTTAGTAATTATGTTTAGACGTGATTTAGAGTGCTAACTAAATTTGCAAAATGTTAAATTGTCTGAATGTAACATTTTGTTTCCTAGGAAAAGTTTGCAAAAAATGTTATTTCTTCGATAAATTATTATTAGGGATGATATATTGTCTGAATGTAACATCTACAATCATATATAAATGGTTTTGAAATGGCTTAGAGTTAGCTAGGTTCTTCTTTTGTGCAAAGTTGCAAATCAGTTGATCAAATCTTGATAATGAGCCTCTATATAAAGTGCATTAATCAACAATGTTGGTGATTAAACTTTAAGAGACTTTGATATTAGATAAATATTTGTGTGAAGTGATTATAGCAAAGCACATGGCCTAAGACTGCGATTTGCGAAATAAGTGGCATAAATTTCTAAATGCACAAAAGTAATTAAAAAAAACACCATTAGCATACAAAGGCTAATGACGATTCTCTTTAAGTCTAATTTTACTTATGCATTTTGATTTGGTTTTTTGGAACACGCATTTTAATTTGTTAAACTTTAGAAACTATTAATCATTATAAAACTAATCTAGTTTTACGGCACGCAAAATAGAAATTATTTACAAAATATTATAGGATACACGAAAAAAAGCTTTGGACATACCTTCCAAATAAAATTCAAACCATGAATTCTTATTGAACACCACCAGTAGACTTAAGCGATACATAATGCTATGACATTAATGCACGAGTTATATTTAATTTCTTATCAAGTCTAGCAATGAAATGATTAGTACTAACAATTTCCTTTTATCAGAAATTTTCTTTCCCAAAGTATTGAACGTTGAATCAACAGGAAAGTCGAAAGCTACATGTTACCTAATAATAATATGGACGAGTTGAATACTCGTGTGATTATGGTAACCACCAAAACGTGGTCCATGCATCTCTTCTTCTTTTTAAACAAAACAAGCCTTTTATCTCTTGTTTTCCCCCAAATATTCTCAGATTATATTCTCTTATTTCATGTTAAATCCTTATTCTTATTTTAATTAATATTTCTTGATTTTTTAATTCAATTTATGATTAACTGCGTAGTTCTGATAGGATCAAATGCATTAATATTGATATAATCGTACCCAATTAATACTTCTTGATCAAAATGATTATAACCATGGAATCTATTAAAAATCATTTCGCTATAAACACACAAAACTAACAAGCATTTGTTTTAACCTAAATAAATTAGAAGCTATATGTAATTATAATTGGAGCCTCTCAACTCTCGTAGTAAATGATTCAGAACTGTGAACATTATCATTTGGGTTCGATTCTTACCATCCTAGACGCTTTAAATACTCAAAATATTTTAAATGTAAATATTTTTTGGCTTTTGCGAATCTCGTCATAATGTTTAATCTTTGAATTTAAAAAGTTTTTTTAATTGTAGGATCACATGAATCTAGAAAAAAAATTATAATCATAGGATCACATCACGGTTATAAAAAACCAAAATGTACTTAATATTTTATTTTGCAATGAAATTTCATCTAAAACATTAATTATCTTTTTGAGATTAAATATCCTTCTCAACTTTCTCTAAACAGAAAATAATTTTAAAAATAAATGTCAGGATTTTATAATTTCTTTTTTAAAAAAATGAGAGAATCTTCTGATTAAGCCAGAGGGTTCTGCATTTTTGGCGGTAACAGAGAGCAAGAGGTATAAAACGGCTTCCTTCCTTCCTTTTCTTCAAAAATCGAGAAAATCAGAAAAAGGTGAAAATCTTCTGATTTGATTCTTCTTCGTCGCGTGATTTCACTCTCATCAACAGAGATCGTTCCACGATCTACATCGATCCCTCCGTCTCCGTAACATTTTTACAATCCAATTTTCAATTTTTTTTTAATTTATATTTTTGCAGATTTGTATTTCCTTTGATGATTCGTAGTTTTTTCGATTGATTGCGATGAGATGTTTTGTGGGTTGTTCTATTTTTTATCGGATTGTGATTGAAGATTGTTATTAGAGTGATGCGCACTAAGTGTTCGATGAAATGTCTAAGTCAGAGACTGTTTTTTTTTTTTTGCCTTTTTTATTACAAGAAACTAAAAAAAAGGCTTCTGTGTCTTGTCCTTCTTGTTCTTTAACTATTTGTATTTTTCCTTGTCTCTCTCTCTCTCTTTAATCTTTCTCCCTATCTATCTTTGTTTCTGTCCTTTGAGATTCATCAAAAGATGTTTTTTTTTTGTGTGGTAGTAAAGAAGTCTCTTTTTGAAGTCATTGTCTGATTCATAGCTAAACAGTGAATTTTGAATGTCCAGATTTTGAATTTGTGTGTATGATTAATTGATTATGTAGAAAACCAGGTCTTGGTTATGTGAATGAGTCTTCAGTATTGTGTTATTTTCGATTTTATTTTTGTAGAATACTTAAAGCATCAAACAGCATTCTCATTTGTAGAGGATGGATCCGCAACATACCGGTGATTTGATGAAGTAATGCTCATAACGCTAGCTTCTTTGTTACTTGTAATCCGTATTCTTCAGTTAAATTAATTTTGTTGTTGGTTGTGAAATAGGCATTTGGAGACGCAGAATGAGTTACTCAAGGAAACTCAGAAGACTATGTCACAAGAACTCCAAAAACTCATGGTATTATGATGCAAACATTCTTGTTTTAACGAGTGGAGATCGTTTAATCGATGTTTCTTTCAGGTGGAAGAAGAGATGATGATGCATAAGCTCTGTGAGCTGATGGTTACTCATCGTAAAAACAAGAAGGTATGCTCTGTTCTTGAAGACACACTCTTTTAAATATCCATAAGACCTAAGAGTTTCTGAGGGCTTTAACGATTTGGCAGGAAATGAAGAAAACTCAGAATCTATTGGAAGGTAAAGAAACAGTTGAACCTTCTGTTACAGTTGAGGCCCAGCGTCCACCCATACTATACCAATACAGTAGGAGGAAGAGTAAGGCCCATCAAAAAACAGTTCAGGTATCCAATGGAGAAGACCTTAATAAAGGTTTCTAGAAGGTGAGGGGATAATAATAAGTAAGAATACTGAATTTTGAATCTTGAATCTCTCTTTACAAAAATCTGTACTATGTATATGCAAAATCTCTATTTCTAAAATGAAATAAAACAATAATCTCACATAGTAACATCAATAGCCTGCAAAAAGTATGGTGATCCTCCAATTCTCTTAGTACTCAAAACATTCTTAACCAAAAGTTTCCATCTCTTCTCATCTTTCCTGCTCTGTTTCTTCATCCTCTCCTTGAAGTCACTGCAAAGAGGGACTCTGCATTGCTCCGAGTCGACGCAGATACGCGAATGAAGCTCGATAAGCTGCCACATTCTCTTGCAATGGCTGCAGCCACCAGGGATTGATCTCAGCTTACATCCCGCGAAATGTTTCAACAGCTTCTCCAAACCGTCGCAGGCTGAAAACCCGCACGTCTCGTGCGGGTTTTCGACCTTTGTTGGACCGATTTCTCGACATCCATCTCTACATATGTGGACAAAAGCTTCCATTGCATCATACAGCTGAGTGTATGTCTGAATCTCCTTCTGTTTTCTACTTCTCTGCTTTAAACTCTGTTAAAAAAAAGACAATAAGTGAATCAGAAAACTGTGACAGAATCAAGAACAAGACATAAGCTCCAAGATTTGTTTTATAACTTACATTAATTTCGTAAGAGACAGAGCGTAAGAGCTCTTTCTGAAGACTAGGGTGGCTTTGTTTCATAGCTAGCCATCCTTCAGAAGTAGACACTTCTTCAAAGCTATTTAGAATCATTCTATGACAGAGAAGAGATAGACGAGGAGCATCACAGAGAAGAGCTAACTGAAACACATCAATCACATTCTCTTTGTTGAGTAAAGTGTTTTCAAAGTGTGACTCGCAAACACGTTTTAAATGTGGAACCACGTAGACATGTGATAATACAAGAAGGTGTATTGCAAAGTCTTCCATGTCTTGTTTCTCGTAGCTACACGGATCAAAAAACAAGACAATAAAAGTGTGTTTAGTTAAGTATTGTAATAATAATAACAAAAATGTTTTTAATATTTTTAATGATTGATAAATGACATAATAAAGTACCAAGAAGAGTATAAGAATCGAATGAAAACTCGAACAGCATCATGAGGAACGCCAAAGATTGAGATTGATTTACGATGAGATTTTCTCTTATCTTGCTTCATTAGTCCTCTAATTACATCTGAAGCCATTCCCTGATTAACAAATTAAAAAAAAGCAGATAATTATTAATTAATATTCGGTACTAAAATGTTTTTTTTCTATATATAGAGAACTTACGATAACGTTAGAATGTGCGTAAATTAAGCCATTATCTTCCGTATGAATCAAAACATCAGCTCCATGAGCTTCATCGAACATACGATCCCATGAATCTCTTGTAGCTTTAGAAGCAAAGCTATTGCATTTTTGTAGAAACATATCCGTTGACTTTTTAGACTTCGTTGACTTTACAGGAGGAGGAGGTGGTGGTGGTGAGGAGAATTTTTCCGGTGAACATTCCGGTGAGTAAACGTTGGTGTTCTCCATGTCTTTGGAAGGAACGTTAGAGAGGAGGAAAAAATGAGATTTGATAATTCAGACAGATGAAAAGGAGAGAGATGGGGATGTAATGTCAAAGACCAATTTATAATGAATCTTCCTTTGGTCGGAAAATTTTAAATATTTAATTAAATAAAAGGTGGAAACTCGCAAGTGTGAACTGTTTTACACGTCTTAATTGGGTCCCACGCGGCTGATCCAGTTTTCATATAGAGAAGAGGATAAGCACATGCTGATTCATATCCACGTTGGATGAAGTTTTCTGTATCACTAATTTTTTTAATTCTATCCTAATTTACTCTTCTTTATAGTTTGCAAATCTCTTTATCTTTATGTCTAAACATTAGAGACCATTATACCCAAGTATTTTTAAAAATAAATAAATTCTCAAAAAATAATGCCAAAAATAGCACCCATCCATTAATTGTTGTTTAGTCTAAATTTCCATAAAATAGTGGTTGGCGACGACGTATTTGGAAAAGGTACCACATGTGTTTCTCTTTTTGCTATTAAAATTAATATTCACACAACTCTTTCTTCAATTAATCATTTTAAAAGGTCGACTTTTCACTTTGTCAATGACATGTTCTTATTGTGTTGACTTTTACAAAGATGTAAGCTAGCTTTCTAAATTCTAATAACATCAATACAAACATGCAACAAATATATGATCAAAGGTTTAAAGTGAAAGAGCATATGAAGTTTGGTTATATGATTCATTGTGGATCATACGGTGAAGATCCATGCTTGCCAACATTTAATTAACTCTCGCCCACTCAATGAGATTAATATTGTGAAATGCGAACCGTTCAAACATATTTAAATAGCTTATTTAAATATAATAATATTAGATGTCAGCGAGGCTATTTTAGCACGGGAAATACTATATAATACTTAAAAAGTGTCAGATCCTAGTCATGTTTACATAAAAAAAAATAGTTCAATTATATATACATATATATTAATCTGTGACACACAACAGAAGGATTCAGCTATGTAAAATTAACTCATCTAGCTTTAATTTCTTCTAACGAGATTATCGTTATGGAATGAACTGATTGTAATCTAACGGTTCCACTTCTACTGTTTTTTGTTTGTTTTCTGAAAAAGATATGATCCATCATGTTATGGCAATAATAATGTTTCAGATTTTCGGATTATTCTATTATTAAATTTTTGTTAAGTGAAACAAATCTAAATATGTTTGGTAGATTTTAAATATTGATATTAAGTTTATTCGAATTTAATATTTCATTTATATTTTTTCAGTCCTCATAATAACTATGCATTTTGAAAGAAAATTGAATATTTTTATATTCTATAGTATATAATTCATAAAGTTATCATAGAAAATACAGATCATACCTAAAAATATCAAAGATATATCAGCCATATAGTTTTCGGCGATAAACTAGTGCTTGATCCGCGTGGGATTTTTTTTTATATTTTATATTTAAAATTTAGTTTATCAAATGTAATCGTTACTATGTTAATTTAACTAAAAAAGTTAGTGTACAATTAACATTTTAGTTGTTTATTTGTGGTAAGTTTAAGTCCTTGATAAGTGATTAAAAATGAAAATCATATTTTTAAATCATATTTGAGATTTTTTTGTTGTGATATATTATTTAATTAAATGTGATTATTTTGTACATATAATAAAATTTAATTTTTGTTGAGCGAGTATTTTGATAAAAATAATATGTGAAAATTAAAATGAAAATATATTATTTAGTGATAAATAACATAATGATGTGGTTTAAAAGATTATAGTCTTGTAGACGTTGTTGTTTTGACTCTTGAGCCACTTGGTCAAATATTGATAATGATCGCATGAAGTTACGGATTGGTCAATCCGGGGATAATATATCCTAAATTTTCTTTTAGGATGTCTTTGATATTAGAGAATTGCTAATTTACATTTATTTTCAAATATATACTTTGGAAGAGGTTGTTGGAATGTAATGGATGTCCCTAACCTTTTATATATATGTAAATGATACAAAACATTTCTGGTGAATTATCTGAGAGTTAATGAAATTATTTATTGAGAATGATAATTTAATGGTAATGTTGTATGCTAACGTAGATGGATTTTAGTTAATGTATCTAATATTTACTTCATACCTGAAATAGTTAAAACTGAAACTTGAGTATATTGTTTTTTGTTTTTAGTTTTGTATTGTTGATTTGGCTTTGAGAAAATTAAAGAGACTACTATCATAGATCTCTGATTTATATGATTAGTTTTTGATTTATATATAGCATAAATATTATTATAAATAAATATATTAATTATGTTTTATTTAAAAAGTATATTGTAGTTTAGTTTATAATGTAAGTTTGTGTACTTTTCAATTCTTCACACACGTAAATTTTTAAAAATTATTAATAACATCTTACAGATATTTAAAATATTTTTTTTATATATTTCAATATCAAAATTATTAAAATTAGATATTTAAATAAAGTAATATATAAGATATGATCTGATATTTATTATTGAGTTTATCTATCTTCTATTATTTTAAAAAACTAAAAATATAAATATATCAGTGAACTAAATTTATTAATTTTATTATTTAATAAAAATTGTGTGGAAATTTGTTTCTGATGATAAAATTTATAACTGATTGTGTTAAAGACTTGATTTATTATAAACAAAAAACATTAATGAATAACTCAATGTAATGTTAATAATTAATCCAAATGATAGAATGATAAGTGTTATATTTTGTCCATATGAAGAGAAATAACCCTATTTTATTATATAAGATTGGTGTATACAGTATGCCTTTAAATAGATAACAAATGTCTCAATAATATTCAGAAAATACCTCAAAGAAATATAAGCTTAAAAGAAAACCAGAAAACGTGAAACGATGGAGGGTATAACTCCACTTGTATTACTCGTTAGCTTACTTATCATGTTTGCCTCAGGTAATATTTTTTTCTCTCAGTTGTTATATTTATTTGATGGATTGTTATTTCAGTTTCAATGTTCTAAAATACAACTCTGTGATCACATTTTCTCAAATTAATTTAATGTTAAATTTAATGATGTATACAATGTTGCAGTTGTGAATCAGACTAGAGCAAACAACTGTACCGACGGACTAGGCACTTGTGAAAACTGCGACCAGAGATGCAAGGCTAAACACGGGCCATCAAGTGAAAGCACATGTGACCACTCTCTTGTGGTGCCTCTGTGCTTGTGCTACTACCAATGTGCAGGACCCTCGCCGACTCCAACTCCACCCAAAATTTGCAATGGTGGGGCTGGTTTATGTAGTACAAGTTGTCCCCAAAATTGTTGTGATATGAACTGCGCAAAAAAGTTTAATGGTGGACATGGATTTTGTAACACCCTCGATAATTTTAGAACCAATTATAAACACTCAATATTTCATTTATATTTTCAGTCTTCATAGATATATAGATAACAACATTTCCATTGTATACAATTTCTAATTCTTTTCTAACACAGAAGATTATGCCTAAAATATCAAAAAAATTATAACCAGGAAAAATAGTTAAATTTTGAGGGAATAAAAAAAAATTATTCCTAGGGTGAACCAACCAATATAATTTAATTATTATAGATTCAATATTTCAAGAAATAGGAAACCAAATAATAAGAAGTGATGAAATTATATTATGTTTTTGAAATAAATAAAAATAATAATAAGTACCAAAAATATATATATTTTTAATAATAAGTACCAAAAATATATATTTTTAATAGTGTTAAACCTATCATTAAAATACTAAACTCTAAACCCTAAATTCTAAACACTACACCCTAAACTATTAAGTAAATTTCGAACAAATCTTAAACCCTAAACCTTTAATCTTAAACCATTAATCCTAAATTCTAAATCAAATTCTAAATCATATTCTAAACCGTTACTCTTAAACCTTAAGCCCTTAATCCTAAACCGATTTAGTGTTTAGAATTTAAAATTTTAAGTTTAGTATTAGATTTTAAGATTAAAGGATTAAGAATAATGATTAATGGTTTAGGATTTGATTTAAAGTTTAGGATTAAGAGTTTAGATTTTATAATTATCTCAAGGGTTCAAGGTTTACCCAATAGTTCTGGGTTTATCTAATGTTTAAAATTTAAAATTTAATATTTAGCAGACATATTTAATAATATTAAAAATAAATTTTTGATAATTACTATTATCTTTATTTATTTTAAAATTTTAACGTAATTTCATAAAGGCTTATTATTTGGTTTTCTTTTTCAAAAGATATTAAAGTTAACTAATTAAATTATATTTTGGTGGTTCTAGATATCATCCTAGAAGATGAATCCATCAGTCAATAGTTTAAATTTCTCTCAAACATAACACAAATTTAATTAGTTTAAATTTAATATCTTTTGAAAAAGGAAACCAAATAATAAATCTTTATGAAATTAAGACTTAAGAATAACTCAATAAAGAATGAAATCATCTTTATTGTATAGTTTGGCAATTAATTGGTGTTTTGAAAAAGAAGCATATCATAATATAAACATATTGACCAATAACCATCATAATAAATTAATTGGTCTACGTCTTGCCTTTAAATAGATAACAAATGTCTCCATAATATTCAGAAAACACCTCAAACAAAGATAATCAAGTTCAAAAGAAAACCAGAAAACTAGAAAACGTGAAATATGGAGAGGATAACTCAGGTTGTATTACTCGTTACCTTACTTATCATGTTTACCTCAGGTATTATTATATCTCTCAATTGTTATATTTACAGATGTTCTAAAATATTATTCTGTGATCATATTTTTCTCAAATTTATTTAATGTTAAATTTAATGATGTATACAATGTTGCAGTTGTGAATCAGGCTAGAGCAAAAAGCTGTGTCGACACTCTAGGCACTTGCGATGAGTTCTGCGAGGAGAGATGCACATCCAAACACGGGCTAAAAAGTGTTACCAAGTGTGACAGGTCTTTTGGGCTGTGTAAGTGCTACTACTCGGCGAGTGATTGTGGCCACAATCCTGAAGTGCCTCCAGGCCCTCCACATACTACTTGAAACGGTGGGGCTGGTTTATGTAATACCAGTACCCTTGTTAAAGCCGGTTAACAAGATTATAAACCGATTGCCAATATTATTATTAACTTCAATAATGCGATGATATTATAATATTTATCTACCAAAAGTTTAATAGTATCAGTCTATCAGCCATTTCAAAGACTAAGACCAAACATTAATTTAATATAATTACATTACCAATAAAACATCAAAAATATTACTATCTCACCAAATTTGGTGTAGAGTAAATAGTATTACACTAAATTTTGGTGTAATACTATTCATCACACCAAATTTTACTATACATGTTTTATTAGATTCATTTAATAATATAATTCAATTATTATTAATAATTAATTTAAATTTGTAACTAAACACAAATATTTTGTATTAGTTATATTTTTAAATCATTTTCAAGTAAAAATCACTAGTATTTTATATTTGAAAAGAAAAATACATCTTAAAACTTTAAATTAATAATGAACAATTAATAATATTACATTATTTTAAAATTAGATTTAATCATTAAAAATTTATGTAACATTATTAAATTCACCAAAAATTAAAATAACATTTTTATTTTATAATATATTTAAACTTGTATTATTAAAATATATTATGTTTATTATGTGTTTTAGTAATTAAGAATTCTGTAATTTTGAATATATTTAATATTTGTATGAAATAAATACATAAAAATATATAAAAATTCTAGTCCAAAAATAGAAATGTAAATAAATTTGATAAACGTATAATATTTAATTAATTATAAAATTTATTTCAATTGTAAATAATAAAAATATAAAAAATCTTAAAAATAAAATATCAAATAATATATAATATTAAATTTGGTGTAATTTCAACGTCGTTACTATTTACTCCCTCTGTTTCATTATAAGTGTCACTCTATAGCTGTGCATACGGATTAAGGAAACAATTAATTTTACATATTTCCTATAGAAAAACACAGTTACCCATACACCTAATCATATTTTAACCAATAGAAAAACAAATTACATAATAAAATTAATAAATTTTACATTGAAAACCGAAAACGACACTAATTTTGTAACATAAAAAATTCTCTACAACGACACTTAATTTGAAACGGAGGGAGTATTGTATAGACTATGCATAATGCTTTCCTTTGAACTCATCTGTTGGATTATGCTGTGCAATTTACGTCAGATCGCCTTTTTGTTACTACTTAACAATTTAACATATATATAGTATCCAAAAGGTATGATTAATATAAATGAAAAGTGACTAAGTAATGAAATATTATTCACGAGTGTGAATTGCCGGCACGGGGACCTCTTCGTGTATTCATGGAACACTTTGTATTTAAGATTTGTTCAAAGGGTTCAAAATTTACTTAATAGTTTAGGGTGTAATGTTTAGTATTAATCCTTAACTCTAAATCAAATTCTAAACCGTTACTTTTAAACCTTAAGCTTTTAATCCTAAACTGGTTTAGTGTTTAAAATTTAAAATTTAGTATTAGATTTTAAGATTAAAGGATTAAGAATAATGATTAATGGTTTAGGATTTGATTTAAGGTTTAGGATTAAGAGTTCAGATTTTATGATTATTTCAAGGGTTCAAGGTTTACCCAATAGTTCTGGGTTAATCTAAGGATTTAATGTTTAAAATTTAAGATTTAATATTTTGCAGATAGATTTAATAATATTAAAAATAAACTTTTGATATTATCTTTTATTTATTTTAAAATTTTAACGTAATTTCATAAAGGTTTATTATTTAGTTTTCTTTTTCAAAAGATATTAAAGTTAACTAATTAAATTCTATTCTGGTGGATCTAGATATCATCCTAGGAGATGAATCCATCAGTCAATAGTTTAAATTTCTCTGAAACATAACACAAATTTAATTAGTTTAAATTTAATATCTTTTGAAAAAGGAAACCAAATAATAAATCTTTATGAAATTAAGACTTAAGAATAACTCAATAAAGAATGAAATCATCTTTATTGTATAGTTTGGCAATTAATTGGTGTTTGAAAAAGAAGCATATCATAATATAAACATATTGACCAATAACCATCATAATAAATTAATTGGTCTACACCTTGCCTTTAAATAGATAACAAATGTCTCCATAATATTCAGAAAACACCTCAAACAAAGATAATCAAGTTCAAAAGAAAACAAAACTAGAAAACGTGAAATATGGAGAGGATAACTCAGGTTGTATTACTCGTTACCTTACTTATCATGTTTACCTCAGGTATTATTATATCTCTCAACTGTTATATTTAAAGATGTTCTAAAATATTATTCTGTGATCATATTTTTCTCAAATTTATTTAATGTTAAATTTAATGATGTATACAATGTTGCAGTTGTGAATCAGGCTAGAGCAAAAAGCTGTGTCGACAATCTAGGCACTTGCGATAACTGCGAGGAGAGATGCAAGGCCAAACACGGGCTAACAAGTGAATACAATTGTGACAGCTCTCTTGGGCATGTGTGTATGTGCTACTACTCGGCGAGTGATTGTGACCATCGTCGAGTGAATCCACATACTACTTGAAACGGTGGGGCTGGTTTATGTAATACCAGTACCCTTGTTAAAGCCGGTTAACAAGATTATAAACCGATTGCCAATATTTTTAATAACTTCAATAATGCGATGATATTATAATATTTATCTACCAAAAGTTTAATAGTATCAGTCGATCAGCCATTTCAAAGACTAAGACCAAACATTAATTTAATATAATTAAATTTCCAATAAAACATTAAAAATATTACTATCTCACCAAATTTGATGTAGAGTTAATAGTATTACACTAAATTTTGTGTAATATTATTCATCACACCAAATTTTTAGTATACATATTTTATTAGATTTCATTTAATAATATAGTTCAGTTATTATTAATAATTAATTTAAATTTGTAACTAAACACAAATATTTTGTATTAATTGTATTTTAAATCATTTTCAAGTAAAAATCACTAGTATTTTATATTTAAAAATAAAAATATATCTTAAAACTTTAAATTAATAATGAAATTAATAATATTACATTATTATAAAATTAGATGTAATCATTAAAAATTTATGTAACACTATTAAAGTCACCAAAAATTAAAATAACATTTTCTTATTTTATAATATAATTAAACTTGTATTATTAATATATATATATATGTTTATTATGTGTTTTAGTAATTAAGAATTCTGTAATTTTGAATATATTTAATATTTGTATGAAATAAATACATTAAAATATATAAAACTTCTAATCCGAAAAATAGAAATGTAAATAAATTTGATAAACGTATAATAATTAATTAGTTATTAAATTATTTTCAATTGCAGATAATAAAAATATAAAAAATCTTTTAAAAAACTTAAAATATCAAATAATATATAATATTAAATTTGGTGTAATTTCAACGTCGTTACTATTTATTCTATATAAGATTATGATCGGTGATAGACTATGCTGTGCAATTTACGTCAGATCGCCTTTTTGTTACTACTTAACAATTTAACATATATATAGTATCCAAAAGGTATGATTAATATAAATGAAAAGTGACTAAGTAATGAAATTTTATTCACGAGTGTGAATTGCTGGCACGGTGACCTCTTCGTGTATTCATGGGACACTTTGTATTTTATAGTGCTAATATGACAAATCAGGTAAATCTATTATAAAAAAAGGCAATGTGTAAAAAACTATCCTAAGAAACGGAATACATCTATTATATTAAAATAGAGTCATTCTTTTTATCTACTGATATAAGTTGTCATTTAAATTTGGATTCTTTCTAGAGTGTTACAAATAATACAAATCATATAATTAATTAAACTGCATTACTTAAATTAAACCGATGGTTATTTATGGGACATAGTCTTCGGCTTATTTGAAACAAATTATATGATTTGGTTTTTGGGCTTAATATTCAAAAAATATTGAATAAACTTTCCACCTTAATGGATCAAAAATTCAGTTATTATTTTTAAGCCCAAAAGATATTTAATATTTTTAAATAAAACAAAATTGTTTATTATTAATTATTTATTTAAATCATGTACTTTAAAACATGTTAATGTATTTTTTATTTTAAATAACTCTATTCTATTAAAATAGAGTCATTCCTTTTATCTACTGATACAAGTTGTCATTTAAATTTGGACTCTTTCTAGAATGTTACAAATAATACAAGTCATATAGTTAATTGAACCGCATTACTTAAATTAAACCGATGGTTATTTATAGGATATAGTCATGGGCTTATTTAGAACAAATTATATGATTTGGTTTTTGGGCTTAGTATTCAAAAAATATTGAATAAACTTTCCACTTTAATGGATCAAAAATTCAGTTATTATTTTTAAGCCCAAAAGGTATTTAATATTTTTAAATAAAACAAAATTGTCTATTATTAATTATTTATTTAAATCATGTACTTTAAAACATGTTAATGTATTTTTTATTTTAAATAACAATCACTTTGTTTTGATAAATTTCAATGGTAACTTTTAAATAATTTATTGTTTTATTTCTCTTCAATAATTTACTGATTTAAAAAAATGTAAATCAAAACCAAAAACCAAGTCTAAAAACTAAAATTCAAAACAAAAAAACTGAAAAACAGATTATATTTTTTTTGATTTTATTTATTTACAAAATAAACTATTGCAAATTTCTTTTAAAATTTTTTCGTCATTTTTTTCAGTTTTAAATTAGATGTCCGATTATTTGGGATTTTTTTGTTAGTAATATCAGTTCAAACTAATTCTGCGGGTCTAAAAATTAAAAACTCAAACCAAAAGCTGAAAATCAAAAATAGAAACTTAAAAACTAAAAACCAAAATCTAAAACAAAATCTAAAAATAAAAACTGAAACTAAAAACTAATGAATAACAATCATAACCAAAAATTTTGGTGAACTGATTTTATCCCAAAATATTCTTTAAATTAAGACAAAGCTCAATTACATAAATTTTTAATCATAAAAAAATTCCACGCTTTTCAAGCGCGGGTCAAAATCTAGTTAATTTATAAAATCATTACCTAACATATCTTAACTAAAACAATTTAAATAAAAATAAAGCAAATATAGACTAGTCAAATAATAAACCTAAACATTTCCAATAAAACTGAACTTATTAAAAACGAACCAAATCGAAATAGAGAAAGTGGTTTGTATTTGATAATACCAAATAAACCGAATGAGTGTTAATTTAATAAACCACGGTATATAAATATGATTTGATATATAAACCGATTAATTCAAATATTTAATATACAACTATATTATATGTAAATTTTATAATAAATGTAATAATATATGCATGATAAAAGTGATTTTATTAAATTTTATTTTTTCTAATTTAAAAAAAAATTATTTTCATTACATAAAACATAATTTTATTGGTACACATGTATGCTAAAATATAGTTATTTGATATTAATATTTTTCTTATTTATATTTTAATAGTTAAAATGAAAAGAAAATATTATATTTAAAATTTAGAGTACGGGATATATATTATGGTTTCATAAACCTGAATTATAATGATATAGATTAAAATTTTCATAAAATGTAACTATGGTTATGGTTTTTGGTATAAAATCGAATAAACTGAAATTCATTAGTGTATAAACCGAATCAAACTAAATTAGATATGATATTAATATAATAGCTAATTTTTATAAATTAAAATACTAAAAAATCAAAAAAAAAACTGAAACAAAAGCGAATAGATATCAGGATTAAACACCGCTACCGGCTATAATCTTAAATAATACACAAATTTGTATACTTGGCTTATAATATGTAGCTATCGTTTTCACATGTGATGGGACAAAATCAATTGGACGGCCCAGGCTATACATTTTCTGGTTGTTGTCATTCATATATTATGGGCCTAAGTTTATAGAGGAGCTTAGATAAAGGTGAGTCTAACCGATTCATCTTAGCCCATTATTAGTTATAATCCAAATTGTAAGACCTAAGAAAATAACAGTAACCTCTTTTGGGCAAATAATGATTGCAGGGACCTTATCAAACTCTAACTAAGTTGATGGTCACTGCATTTACTACTTTCTCTGTTAATTGTTTAAATTTTTTAAAAACAGACATGAACGTAAAATGAAGATTGAAATTTATTACATAAATTAATGAATGAGATTCCTTCTTTGTCGAAAAATATAAAAATAATTACTTCATAATATCCATAATAATTTGTGTGTTTGTATTCATAAATCCTTCTACAAAAGCATATATATTCGGAGATATTTATCAATTAAGAAGGGGCAATAGATGTGTAAGTAATACAATTCTTAATTATTTACATTTTAGCGATTATATTTTAATTTTTTTTTTTTGAAAGCGATTATTATATATATATATATATATATATATATATATTGTTCATATGAATGAGTTAGGTGAATGTATAACAAAATAAATGAGCAGTAACATTATATAATTTGAGTTACGCTGGTGACTCAGAGCATCTCCAAAAAGACTCTCTATTATAGAGTTTACAAAACTCTATATTTGAAGTTTGAAGGTATTATACTCCAAAAGCAAAACTTCAAACCTAACTTTAAAATTATTTGTATTTTATATAATGGTCCTTATCTTTGTCATAACTAATTCAAATTCATAAACTTTTATAAATAACTATCATGTATAAAAATATTCTAGAAATATCATTTGATAAAATGTTACGCTAAAATATAAAACTATAAATAGAAATATATAATCAAATATTAAAGTACAAACAAAATACCACATTATATCATGTAATATTGTTGCTGTCTACTTCTAGTTTTAAAATATTTTAAAGATTATTTTGATGCTTTTTTTAAATATAAAATTTAAATTTATAAAAATAATTTTGAATTATTTATGAAATAATAATTTTAAGGATTAAAATGATAAATAATAAATATTTAAGATTATTATAAATATGATGTGTAATTGTAAGGACCAAAATGTAAATAAAATATGAAACTTCAAATTTGAAGTTTTGAATAGTGACACTCTATATTTGAAGTTTCACTACTCAAAACTTCAAATTTGAAGTTTTAGAATTCCTTTTTGGAGAGGCAAAAACTTCATATTTGAAGTTATAGAGTGTCTTTTGGAGATGCTCTAAGCATGAACTAGAGTTCACACGAGTTTCAAGATTTCATTTATTTAATTTGGATAAGCTGTGATGTGCCTATATTCATATTCTAAAAATATATATTCATCTTATGTTTAGTGGATCAAACATGACATTTTTTTTGTACTGATAACATTAATGGTTAATGTAATTGCAAACCTCACACAACGGATATGAATAATGATGGTTAGCTGGCTGATTTTTTTTCCCGGCAGCTGGCAGATAATTTGTTTTTACTCATATGTGCACGGCAGAGTATCACTATCATAATTGCAAAATATGATGTACAAGTTATATACTATAAGATGATAAATATTTAGAATCATACTGTATTATATTAAAACGTATTCATATACTTCAATTTTAGAAATTTATCTCTAAAACCATGATGCTTCCCACCTAACACTTGTTAGTTGCTACACTGCACAAATGTAAATTGAAAAAATGAAAAATGTTACTTATCCAAGCTGTACCCAAGTTATAAATCAGACACACGTAAACAGAAGTATTTGGTCAAAGTTTGACCATCTTGGAATCGTAAAAAAACTTGACAGTCAAAGGTTCCACTTAGATGGGCACTAAGCCCCAAAGGAATTCAACACATGGCACAGACTACATGGGCACTGTAATTATTTATTTTTTACTCTTTTACAGAAACTTATCTACATGATGATATCATCATGTAACATCATCATGTAGCATATCTATTATAAAAGGAAAATTGTTACATATCATCTAGTTTTAATTATAATGATTTTGGATTGTTACTAGTTAGGCAGAGGTGGAGCGTCTTCTTCTTCTTCTTCGTTTCTGAGGCAATCCAGCCTTTCTCACGTGACCGACGCTCCTATACTGTAGTTATTGTCACGTGCGCCATCATTCCACCATCAATTTTATATCATATATGTATATATCATCATTATACGTTTGATATTTTGCTAGGAGAGTTTTCGTGACCTTCTTGTGGAGAAAGAGGGACCGAGTTTCTTTGTTTTTTGGTAGCTATAAAAAAAAACTATTCTACCTCGAATGGGATAATAAGTATTATTAATAAATAATGTGTGTAACGTGTTAGGTATCCTAGATCCGTTAGTTCATTAATAATGTGATCATATTTGGTTACGAACTCTGATTTTTCTGTGTAAGTATTACTGTATTAGTAAGTTGTTATCCTTAAATAGAGACCATTCATTTCTCGCACTTGGTATGTAATGTGGTAATTGCTTGTGCTACATTTTACCACGATGGTTACTAAATTTTAAATGGCATAACGATCTAATATTGTCTACTTAGTTAATCAGAAAATATATCATCCAAGTTCATCACCATGGTTACTAGTTCCAGCAAGTCTTGAAAATTGCAGATTACATAGTCTTTAAGGGTATCATTATCGGTAGTCCTTAAATTGAATTCCTTAACGAAAAGAGAGATTTTACGGGATGTCTCTTAGCGTTTTTAGTTAAAAGTTAAGGGACTTTTCGCTAAGTGACTCAACTTAGAGACTACCAATAATGTTGCTCTAAGTCTTAGTAATTATATCAGGTTTGTATACAGTTGCAAATAAATAGATGAACTACTTTTTGTGTATTTTTGTCTGCTTTTGAATCGGTCCTTCTTGACATACTAATGTCTCAAATTGTTTTTCTCAAACAGTATGTACTAGACATATAAATAAATCAATAAATAGATAAACTTGTTATATATTAATACACATAGAAATGCACAATGATTAATACAAGTCAGAACTAGAAAAAAGAAATACAAAATAATTAAATAATCTACAAAAATACGTAATGTGAGAATATTACTTGTATCTAGGGAGGAGATCGAACAAATGCTGATACTTCACTAACATACACATCAAAGTTGCAGATTTTGGATCTTGCGTCGTCTTGGTTTAATATATACCCTTATTCTGATTACTCGTCTTATGAATAATAGTAAATAAGTATATTCTATTTGTAAAATGACTCGGCTCCATAGCTATGCGCAAAATCAATTAAGGGAGCCTCATTTGTGGATAGATAAACAAATATTTACTCACGACTACATCGCATTACAAGTTATTAAATTGTTTTATTTTCTTAACATCAAATTTCTAGTATAGTATAATTCCACTTGATTCAATTGGATAATCAGTTATTTGTGTTTCCCTCGAATATATAACATCGCTAATTACAGATTTAACTACTCAACGGAATAATGTAAATAGTTCATTTAGATTAAATAGTACATGTCACGTAATATGTATGAATGAGATAATCAAATAACATCTTACAAGTTCAATCATGCTTAACGTAATATATATTTATGGAATAAGGTTTCAAGATCAGATCAGAACCTTTGGTTTTCGATGATACACCTGATCCTGCGTCCAATTTCTTGTACTCATAGTAAGTTTCCTTCTCTCTGCGAGTGGGGACCTGCTTTTCCAATAAATATACTCATACGGTATATGTTTGTATCTACCTAAGATCTATGTATCTAAAATACATACATCTACTGATCTTATCTACGTATAAATTTTTGCTAACATAGGTCGTGTACCGTCACATCTTCAGATTCATCCTAGCTCACCAAAAATGACGGAAGTTATTACTCATTTCCATGAATAAAATATGAGAAAACAAAAAGTTTTACAATAGGGATATAAGAAAATGACATAACATATATAATAATGAAATGACATAACGGAAAAATAATAATGTGGAGCTAATTTGAATTTCAAATTTTGAAAACGTTGAGATTGTTGAGTGGGAATGGTAAGGTCTTTCCCCCACCATTCCTATTAAACATTATTGTTAATCACTTTCTGTTAATTCAATTCAAACCAATAAATGGAAAATTCTAAAAACAACTATCCCCCTGTCTACTGATCACTATTATCTTAAAATAAAGCACATAGTTTGTTTTTAACTTTAAGTACAGATTATCAATTCAAACCCTCTAAATTAGATCTACACTCTAAATTACGAGAGTTACCAAAAAAGCAACAATGGGAGTACGTGGAATACACTAATGAGAAATGTTAACTACTAGAATGTTTAGTTTTGAATGGGATGTAACTTTCTGAAAAAAGAAATTTATGGGATAATTATTCTTGGTTAATCAATGATTGACACACAAATTCAATGGATCTTAGTTGCATATATATTGTTTGAAGTTTTGTATAGACTCGAAATAAATACTTTACTATAGTTATATACTAGTTATTTATAGAAGTAACAAGTAACATAGTGGAAGTGGAGGTTGAGGGTGTTTATGTGAAATCTTTGACATGATATTAGATTATTAGTACTGAAAATTCGTTTTATGTCAAAAGTGTAGACGTTTGCAATGTTTTAGGCGAGTGAGAGGAACGAGTGATTCACTAAGAGAGAGCTTTAAGTGCGGGTAAGTTCCATTAATGATGACATTCGTATCCAATGTTTTCCATAATACAGTAAAACCTCTATAAACTAATAATGTTGGGACTTTTAAATTTTATTAATTTATAGAGATATTAATTTACAAAAGTTTTTTTATTTTTTTTTATTTTAAGATATATTTATTTTAAGATACGAAAAATATTTGATTTTAATGTATAGACATTAATTATTATTTTTAAAAATTTTCACATTTATATTAATTTTTTATGTTATTTGATATGTAATATATATATTTTCATAAAAGTTAAATGTGATTTTAGATATATATTACTAAATCTCATTAAAAATATATTATGTGTTAAGAAAATGTAAAGATAATTCCATTGTAAATTTAAAACAAATAATATATTGCTAGGTTCTTACTTATATAAAATATGTATAGAAATTATTAATTTATAATTTTAATGGGACCATATATTTATATAGAAATTTCTGAAAATTTATTATCTTATTATTTTATCGATTTGTGTCAAATTTTGAACCGGCCCAAATTGGGACCAGTGAAATTTATTAATTTATAGAGATTATTAATTTATCGAGTATTAATTTATAGAGGTTCTACTGTAGTTCTTATAAGCGTTTTTGCCATCGAATGCGAGGAGACGCCATTACACGACATCACGCGAGAGGGCCACTCGTATAAGAAAATCTCGCTTGTTGCCCATGTGTCACGAAATGAATAGCCATCAGGAATATTTATCCCCAAAAATGGTTATATATATAGTCTTCTGATTAATAATTAAAAAAAAATATCACGGACAGGTCTAATTTTTTTTAAAAAATGAAACTGTAAATAAAATGTTTTTAATTAAACAAACAACAAACTAATACTCCAATTTACCAAGCAGCAAAGTTCAGTTAGAATCAATTTTATTTAATTAGGATAATACATTCATCTCAAAACTGGTTTCGAATAATATGTCTTTTGTATATATTACCATAAATAAAAACTTTATCTTTGATTAAACCATCATGGCCAACTCTGATTTTTAAGGACTCCAGTAGATAAAACATTTAAATTAACAAGAAACCAAAAAAACATTATATTTTTTTAAAAACCGTATTTCAATCAAATCAATTTTTATTTGATCTGGAAAACATACGCGAATTGAATCATAATTTTAGTGAAAAATAAAAACACAACTTTAAGAAAATAAACTAGGTGTTTAATTCGATAAACAAGAGCACTACTAATAGATAAAAAAACTAATGCTATCAAAAAAGAAAACCATAATTGAACTATATCATCAAAAAGTCTTCAAACACAAGTAATCCTTTTGGAAAATTAAAACGAGTAATCATTCCCTTAAAATACGTGATTATTATTCATCCCCCCCCCCCCCCTAAATAAAAACGTTTAATAAAGAGAAAATACGTTAAATACAAAATAATAATTTTAAAATGTAACCGCTAAATAACGCCCCCTCTCTCTCCCCCACTTATTTTTGGCGGCACCAGACGCGGGAGACTCTCTCTCTCTCCCCCTCCCCACTCTCCTCTCTCTCTCTCTTGTTTATTTTCTCTCTCCCAAAGATTTCTTTAAAACCATTTCCGAAAAATCAAATACGAAGATTTAGCAACTCTCTCCTCTCTTTTGCTATATTCACTGCCATAACAAAGTCAATCAAAACTTTCCATCTTTTCTATTTATATATTTATGTGTACGGACACAAGATTTCAATCGCCGCCGTGAGAAAAAATGAGTGAGCCTAGAGACACTCTTTCTCTCCTCATCTGCCACGAATCCGAGTCTTGTCTTAACGAACAAGACGACGATGAAGAGACCAAGATTGAGAGATCTGATGAGCAGAAACAGAAACAACACTCTTTCGCTGTCTTAACAACGATCGGTGAAGACGATGAAGATTACGTGGCGGAGCTAGTTCGTAAAGAGAATCACCGATTCGATGAAAACACTAAAACGACGTCGTCGATTGACAGATTGATTGCAATCGATTGGATTCTCACTGTCCGTAAATCAAAAAACACTAAAAAGACAAAACCTTTTTTTAGTTTCCGATCACTAACACTTCTTGTTCCGATTTGATTTGATTTTTTTCAGACAAGAACTAGATTTGGGTTTCAACATCAGACAGCTTACATTGCAATCTCGTACTTGGATCTATTCCTCTCTAAGAGATTCATCGGCGTAAGTTAAAATTCGATCTTTAAGTTCATGTCTGAATCCGACAAGAAGCTAAACTAAACTATGTTTTGTTTTTGTTTTTTTTAATTAAGTTGCAGAAAGATGAATCATGGGCGATTAGATTATTATCAGTAGCTTCACTATCACTAGCTGCGAAGATGGAAGAACGTGTTGTTCCTGGATTATCACAATACCCACAAGATCAAGATTTCGTTTTTAAAACCGATGTGATTCGCAAAACCGAGCTTTTGATCTTATCGACATTGGATTGGAAGATGAGTTTGATCACTCCTTTTCATTACCTAAACTATTTTATTTCTAAAATCTCTCCAACAGACCAATCTAGTGAGCTTGTCTTGTTAAGATCCTCTGAATCTCTTCTCGCACTTACCAAAGGTAAATTAAAAATTATTTAGAGATTTTTTTTTATCTATTAGAGATATTAATGATTAAATTATCCTTTTTTTTGTTGTGTGGATATTGTTAGAGATAAGTGTTACGGATTATCGACAGTTTATTGTTGCTGCTGCTACTACATTGTTAGCTTCTTCATCGGATATTAGATTGACGAGAGAAGAAATGGGTAACAAGTTTGGATCAATCTCTTGGTGGAGTTCTAATGAGAATGTATTACTAATAACTCTTTTTTTCATTTTTTCTAATAGATTATATTGTATGATGTTAAAAGATGATAATGTTTGGCATTACAGGACAATGTATATTCATGTTATGAGAGAATGCAAGAGATTGAAGAGAGAAAACATATGACACCACCGCCGGAAGTATCGGTTCCTGGACCGGTGGTTGGTTCAGGAAGTGGTGCTAAACGTCGTCTGTCTTTTGATGATGATTCTGATCAACCTTCTTCTTCTCCTGACAAGAGAATGCGTAGGCTCTGAAGAGAGTTGAGTTTTTTTGGTTTATAAAATTATATTGAATTGGTAATTTTTGCAACATATTGCTTTGGTTTTTATATTCAATCATTTGATTATAGAGAAAAAAAATGGTTTGAATACAATGGTTATTTCATCTTTTTTGAAGTAACTTATATATAGAGAGGTTTATATATGGAAGTCTTTTGATGGTTCAATTTTGTGGGTGGAATTGTGGGTATCAAAAAACTTTTGGGGCTTCTATGAGAGAATCAAGAAAATGTGGGAGTTGAGAGTGTAAATAATGAAAGAAACAGAAAGGGTGAATAGTTTTAGGCCAATAGCTGCAGTGCCTGTGATTTGGTTTCATCAGTCTTTTCCTCTTATTTTCATGTGATATCAAATGATAAATGAAGAAACTCTTTTTAAGGTAATAAACGCCAATTTGTAATTGACATAGTTATTTCACAGAATATACAAATAATTTGTGTCAATTCAGTTAGTATCCTAACAAACAAATCATCAAATCTAAAATAAATCCATTTTTTACTTATCTTTTATAAAAATACTACTAATTAAATAAAAATAATGGAAATCTAAAAATATTTATTTTTTATCAAATGAAAATCAGACTATCACAATAATATTTAATTTATTTATTGCTATTTTCCAAAACTCTTTTTAGCATTTTAGAGACCAACTACTTGTAGTGGAGGCACTTTGGATCAATAATGGTTGGGATCAATTTACACGGAATATATAAATATCTTTTATACTGAAAACTGCATGTGATGTTTTCAAGTTTTTGTACTCTATAGCTCTACTATACGCGCAAGTCAAAAGGATATATGGTACATACAAGATCGTGTAAAAAGCAAACAATTAATGTTAAAATTTCTTAAATTGATTGCAGTTTGAAAAAAAATAAAAAGACCAAAGACAGAAGAATCCAACGACTTTGTCGAAGTGAGAAACAACTGTCTTATACAAGTAGAGATCCAAAGCATGGTTTCAACTAATTAAAGCTTTGATTCCAACATGATTAGAAACTACTAATTAAAAACATTCAAGTACTTCTTAAATATATAAAAGTCTTACAAATTAAGAAGAAAAAAAGTACTGAGAGTATGTAGAAAATGTGTGTGTTAGGTTTAATGCTAATGTAGTTGCTCTAAGAGATCTGCAACAAGAAATCAAGAAGTATAAAGAGTGGAGCTTCTTTTCACCAAGAACTAGTAAATGCTTCTGAATTTTTTGTTGCTCTTGTTCAATGAATATATATAGGTCCCTATTGCTATCTCTTCTTCATCTTTTTATTATCATGGGGTTAAACCATTTTTTCTGTTGGGTTTTGGTAGGACGTGTGAAATTCACGGGTATCACAATTGAGCTACAAGTCTCACATTGGTTAGGTTATGGATGAACTACAAGACTAGTAAGATTTAATGATCACAAACTAGCTGATATATGGGGAGGTAAAGTTGCTTTTCAGTATAGATTTTGGTCGTTTATTTAATGAACATTTTTGAAAATTATTGATTGTATAGTGTTTTACCGGTATGGTATGTTCACCTATAGAATTCAAGGAAAATGACTGTAGTCTATAGAATACTCCCTCCGTTTTATATTAAGTGTCGTTGTAGAGAATTTTTTGCGTTACAAAATAAGTGTCGTTTTCGGTTTTCAATGCAATCTTTATTAATTTTATTATGTAATTTGTTTTTCTATTGGTTAAAATATGGTTAGGTGTATGGGTAACTGTGTTTTTATATAGGAAATATGTAAAATTAATTGTTTCCTTAATCTGTGTGCACAGCTGCAAAGTGACACTTATAATGAAACAGAGGGAGTACTATTTTTACTTCATTTACATAAAAGATTGATAACATTGAATGAAAATGATATTTTTATAAAGAACAGTGTATCTTATTTATTACAAATTCTGATATTGACAGCCTTTTAAATTGCTATATGGGAATCAGTTTTGAACGATGAGATAATGTCAGGAAAAGAGGCTCCACAAAAAGCCATACAATGACTTCATTGAGAGATTTTCTTAGTAACACATTACAGTCTGGCTAGCTAGCTAACAATCTTGTACCTAAAAATTCAGTTTACTTATTTTAAACATTTTGCATTTCCTCATTTAAATTAGATTTCAAAAAGAAACAAAATATAGTCATTTCAAGGAAACAGAGTGTTATACAAAAATAGAGAAAACATAAATCAATTGCTTGTCCTTAATAATGAAAAACCAGAGTCATTGCAAAAGGCAAAAACTTTGTCATAAGACTTTCTGTTCTAAAATTTGAAAGAAATTGTTCTAAGAGTTGAAAAGAGCGGTTTTTTGCGCTAAATTTGATGGTTGGATCAGACAGGAATCATCTTCAATCCTGCAGCTATTGGCATACCCAAGAAACCTATGATGATACTGAAGATCCATTGGACTATTGTGAGAGGTGTGGTGCTTGCAAATGTTCCCAAGAACTCAATGATTATGATCTGAAAGAAAACCGTTGCACCGATCACAACCACAAAGACATAGTTGTCCAGTATTCCCTTGAAAACATCAATCTCTTCCATCTCTCGTGAGCTTATCTCATTAAAAACCTGAACATTCCACAAACCCATGTCAAGTTTCATCAACAATGTATCTTGCTAGCTCTAAGGATTGTTTTTGTGTTTTTTTTGTTTACCTGACAGAAGACAAAACAGTTGAAGATGAGAGTGTTTAACATGAGAGTTGAGTCAGGACCATCAAGACCAAACATAGACTTCCCTTTAGCTTGGAGAAACCAAATGACTATGAACTGATACAAAGACTGTCCTAGAATGTTCCTCCACATGGCGTTGGTGATGAAATTTCCTCTCCTTCCAACGGGTAAGCGTTTCATTAGCTCGTTGTTTGGTGGCTCTGTAGCTAAAGCAAGAGCTCCAAGTGTATCCATGATCATGTTCACCCATAGCAATTGAACAGCAGTTAAAGGAGCACTTCCTGGAGATTATTATTATGAGTTTATTATTATCAAATAATTGTTTTGATAGTCATTTTCATGTTCTTTACTCACCGGTTAAGCAAGCTGAAGAGAAGTTAACAATCAATGCAACAACATTAACAGTAAGCTGAAACTGAACGAACTTCTGGATGTTTATGTAAACAGAACGTCCCCATTTAGCAACTGTGACGATTGTGCTGAAATTATCGTCTAGAATGATGACATCAGCACTCTCTTTAGCCACCTGAAAGGTTATAAAGATCATAAACTTTTAGATTCCTTCTTTAGCTGGAAATTACATTTTTACCAATTATTATATACTTACTTCAGTTCCAGCAATTCCCATTGCTAATCCAATATCAGCTTCATGAAGTGCAGGTGCATCGTTTGTGCCATCTCCAGTCACAGCAACAACTTCATCAAACGTTGTCCTTAACTGCTTCACAAGTGTATGTTTATCCATTGGTGAAGAACGAGCCATCACCTGTACAAGAAGGAAACGTTTTGTAATATGTTTCAAACAGGATCTTTGATAGAAGAAACTAAGGCCTGTGGATTTTGTCTGAACTGAACCAAACCGAACCAAAATTTTTGGTTCGGTTTAGTTTGTAGGGTTGTGAAAAATGATTCATAAAAAAACTCCAAAAATTATCGAAATTAACGGAAATAACTCTGATAAAAAAACTAAAATTACCAACTGTAACCGAACTAATAAAAATAACCAAATTTAATCGAAAATAACCAAATACCAAATTTTTACCTAAAAAAACATTAGTTATTTTCGGAAATAAAATTAAAACCGAAAATCGAACCAGTTTATTTTTTTTCGGCTCACTTCTGTGGAATTGTAGCCAAACCGAATAAACTGAAATAACCGAATAAACCAAAACCACATGTACAAGAAACAGAAAGTAGTACCTGAATCTTTGGAATCAGTTCTAGTAATTCTTCTTGGCTCTTCTCTCTGAACACTGGACCTTCAATTGCTATACCATCATCAGTTAGAATCCCACATTCTCTTGCAATTGCTTTAGCTGTGTTAATGTTATCTCCAGTAACCATTCTCACAGTGATTCCAGCACGGCGACAAAGCTCAACAGACTCTTTAACACCAGGACGAACAGGATCCTTGATTCCAACTATCCCCACACAAGTAAACCCTGAAGCAGGGATAGCATCATCCGGCGAAAACCCGTTTTCAAGATCCATGTAAGCAAGGCAAAGCGTACGAAGAGCTTCATTAGCAAACTCATTGATAGTAACGTTCAGATACTTGATAGATTCTTCATCAAGAGGCACAACCTCACCACTAGAGTTCACAACTTTATCACAAGCAGCAAGAACTATCTCTGAAGCTCCTTTGGTGTGAGCACGGAGTTTTCCTCCTTCAGGAAGCTCTATCACAACTCCCATTCTCTTCTTTGTAGAGTTGAACGGCTCAACTTTGATTACTTTATAAGACTTCCTCTCTTCTTGAAACTTACCACCAAGAGACAATCCAAGCTCCAAGATAGCTGTCTCGGTTGGTGTCCCCAAGATCTCAGTCTTACCATGCTTATTCACAACAACTTCACCACCAGTGTTGTTAAAAATAGACTGAATCAACAGCTTTAAAGCAGATTGAGGGATCTCTGATTGCAAAGTGGAGCCTCTACTAGCAACATCTTGCACATTCATGCAAATGCAAGACTTCACAACGGTCATGTGATTGGTAGTGAGTGTACCCGTCTTGTCACTACAAATGGTAGTTGCTGATCCCATAGTCTCACAAGCTGCTAAATGTCTCACAAGAGCTTTATCATTCATCATTTTCTTCATCGCAAACGCGAGACTCAGCGTCACAGCCAAAGGCAAACCTTCAGGAACCGCGACGACGACAATCGTCACCGCGATAGCAAAATATTCAAGAAGCTCTAAAGCCTCATCACCAGACCAAATCCAATGAGTCCCCGTGGAAAGCTTCCTCATAAACATCCCTTGCACCAAAACAGCGAAAGTGACAACCGCAAAGAAGAGACCAATCTTTCCAATGATGGTAGCAACTCCATTAAGCTTCACTTGCAGCGGAGTTTCGTCGTCTCCTCCTTCGGTTAAAGTCGCCATAAGCTTCCCCCATTGAGTCCTCATCCCAACAGTAGTAACCAGCATCTTACATGACCCATCTTGCACTTTGGTTCCAGACAATAAAAAAGGGTTCTGTGCATTCACCATCACAGGCTCACTCTCACCAGTTAAACTAGACTCATCGATCACCACGGAGAATCCGGACAAAAAAAGACCATCAGCGGGTACTTGATCGCCGATAGCAAGATGAACGACATCACCAGGCAGCAAGTCATAGATAGACAACTTCTGTCTAAACCCGCTCCGCGTCACCTGGACAGTAATCTTCTTCTTCTCCTTATCCAAATCTCTAAACTGTAAACTCTGACGATAATCGCTAGTAGCTGTAACAAACACAACCAAGAGAATACTGGCCACTATGCCAAGACCATCATGTGACCCTTTAGGCCATCCTTCGGTAGCTATACCAACGATTAAAGACACGAATGCGCAAACACCGAGGATCATAAGCGTCATGTCTTGAAGTGCTTCCCATACAAACACCCAGAAGCTTTTTAGTTCGCTCTCCGCGAACTTGTTGATACCGAAGAGGTCTTGTCTTTGGGAAAGGCTTTTAGTGTCTGTTGAGAGTCCTTCGGTGGGAGAGGTCTTGAGTTTACTGGCGAGTCCATCAGCTCCACCGTGGAACTTTAGTTTCTTGACGTCGTGGCTTTCGACTATGGATCCTAGCTCGTCAGCGCAGATGTCATAGCCTGCGGCTTTGACTTCTTCGGGGACGGTGTAGTCACTTGGAGACACACCTATAATGTCATTACAATGGATTCATATTAACTTACAAAGACACAAACAAACTTTGACACAAATTTTTCAGTTAAATAAAATAAAAACTTTGATACAAACTATAATAAAATCTGTAAACTTTTCAGACAAAAAAAAAACTTTGACACAAACTATAATTAAAAAACTATAATGGGAGCTGTAAACTTTGACACAAACTGTAATTAAAAAAAACTAATAAAAATGGTAAACTCTGATACAATTATAATTTAAAAAAGAAATCTAATAAAAGCTGTAAAATCTGACACAAACTGTAAATAAAAACTAATAAAAATTGTAAACTTTGACACAAACTATAATTTAAATAAAAAATCTATAACAAAAGCTGTAAACTTTGATACAAGGGCTTATTTGCTCAATAACCAAAAAAAAAAATTATTTAGTTTTTTAGAGAGAGGGGAAGAGAGAGATAGGAAGGGGAATGAAGAGAGAGGGGTATTTTTAGTTAGATAATAAATTTTTGTTCTTCACCCAATTTCCCTTTCAAACTATATTTTTTTTTTAAAAAAAAACTATAACAAAAGTGTTAAAACTTTGACACAAACTATAATTAAAGAAAAAAAAACTACAACAAAAGTTGACACAAACTATAATTTAAAAAAAAACTATAAGAAAAGTTGTAAATTTTGACACAAACTATGATTAAAAAAACTATAACAAAAGTTGTAAATTTTGACACAAACTATAATTTAAAAGAAAAAAACTATAACAAAAGTTTTAAAACTGTGACACAAACTAAAACTATAACAAAAGCTGTAAACTTCGAATATTAATTTAGAAGCTTACCAGAGATAAATTGAAAGGCAGCTTTTGACACAAGAACTGCGATCCTCAGTTTCTCCTATAAATAGAAAGTTTTTTCAGATCAATAATCTCAAAAAGGAAAGAACTAATCACGTGAAAGAAGAAAAAGACAGAACCTGATTGGTGCGGCGCATCGCAGCCGCTTCATAACGTTTAGAGAGATTAGCGGTGAAGCGAAAACGGCGTTTAGGATTCTTGACAACGCCACAAAGATTACGCCATTTCGAAAGAGCTTCCTCAGAGGAATGCTTCGCCTTCACATCGAAGTTTTGGGTCAGATAACTCTCCATCTTCCTCCTCTCTCTACAATCTTCTTCTTCTTCTCTGTTCTTCCTCCAGCTTCCTCTGTTTTGAAGGCTCTGTTTTCAAAAAAGAATCAATGTTTCTGCTTATTTTGTGGAGAAAGAGAGAAAACACACACAAAGTTTAATTTTGTGGGATGAAGAAGAAAAGTCGGAAGCTTTTTAATGAGAGAAAGGGAAAGTTGTGAGCTTTTTGTGCCCATTGATTGACCGAGTCATTGAGTTTAATATAACGTTTTGAGGAGAAGCTGAGTTGACTCGTGTTAATTCGTGTGCCCAACCCAAAGTTAGGTGTGGTGTAGTAATCATTTAATTAAAAAAAACATTCTTTTATTTAAATAATGGTACTAATAATGATAACAACATGCATCACTAGTACGCATTAATAACGAATCGTTTACATAAATGCTTGAAACATTCATGCAGGGCATGAAGAGTACACGATCAATGTTATATTATTTTCGGACATGTTGGAGATTATGATTGACTTTAATTCCCAAATTTATTATAAATTGATTTTTTTTTTCCTTTTAAATGTTTGATAATTTTAGATAATTTTTTCGATGGTTAGATTTTTTTTTCCAAGTTTGTTTACCAAATTAAATGATGAACAAGATTATATTTCATGTAATGTAAAAAAATATGAAGATTATATTACATGTAAGAATTAATTGTATCATGTACTAGCTTCTTGTTTGGCTGCTACTAACGTTGATTTTGAACAAACTCGACAATGTGGGACAAAAGTGGTGGGTGAATGTTTCCATAATAAGAAGTGAGGGGCGGTTATGTAAATAATGGAAAATTCGAGGACGGTTGACCGAGACTTTTTGAAGCACTCGCCACTTCGGAGACGCCACGTTTGGACCAGTTTCATTGGGTTCTTTTTGGACCAAAAACATTGTAGTGGTCCAGTTGAATAAAAAATATTTGTAATTCCTTCAATTTTTTTTACGTCAATTTCTTCTCCAGTTGAATAATGGAGTTCCCTCGAGGATTCTTAACTTATTTATTTTTCAACAGTTAGTGGATTTAGGCTACTTATGGGCCATTAGAGGCCTTCTAAAAAGAGGCATTTTAACTTGAAGGCGTCTTCTAATTTTTTATTGGGCTTTGAGGCCTTACAAAATATAGTCTGTAGTACACATATTTGCTTCTCTTATTTGTCTAGAAACGAACTCAACCAAAGTATAAATCTAACATTCATTCCTTTTTATTTTATTTTTATAGTTGACATTCATTCCTATACTTCATACTTGATTGAGCAAGAAGTTAAATTTGAGAATATATTAACTTCGCATAAACAGAAAAATTAACTTACCCTAATTATTTAGCTTGATGTTTGGTGTAAAATTACACTAACTTATCCACGAGTCAATAATGGTGCTTGATGTGTGGTGTTTAAATACAGTAAGTTAATAAATTAGTGCTTAATGTATGGTGTAAAATTAGATTACACTAGTTTATCCATAAATGTAAAAAAATCTAGAGTAAAACGTTCTAGACAGGACATGGACATCATTTGTTTAGCTAATCACATTCTATATTTATATTAATGTATGTTAAAATAATTTTTATGATACATGGACATCATTTCTAATTTTTCAACAAGTAATTTATTTAAATTTCATTACCATTTAATCAGTGAACAAACTCCTTATAAAAACAAAATTATATTCTCTAGAGAAACATGAACAACTAAGGTCTCAAACCTCTTTAACCTTCATATTATGTAATTGAATGATGCAAATATGCATTAAAACAAAATTTTCATATTTTCTCATTTTCCTCAAAATACGTGGGTTAACCCCTATAAAAAATCGAGTTTTTCAATAAATGCTATATTCAGAAGTTTAGGTTCTTTATTGTTGATTAAAAGTTACCTAATCACATTCAACATTTATATTAATGTATGTTAAAATTATTTTCATGCTACTTAAACATCGTTTCTAAATTTCCATCAGGTAATTTATTTAAATTTCATATACCACAATGGAAAAACCCCCTATAAAAAAAATCTATTTTCTAGAGAAACATGAACACCTAAGGTCTCAAACCTCTTTAAACTTCGTACTATGTCACTGAATGAAGCAAATATACACTAAAACAAAAATTTCATTTTTTTCTCATTTTCCTCAAAATACGTGGGTTAACACCCCTATAAAAAATCGAGTTTTTCAATAAATGATATATTCAGAAGTTTAGATTCTTTATTGTTGATTAAAAGTTACCTATTCAGAAAATTAATACAAATCTATATTGTGCTTAGGTGATTTTTAATCAACAATAAAGACCTTAAACTTCTGAATATATAAACTTTTGAAAAAATCAATTTTTTCGTAGGTGTAAACTCACATATTTTGAGAAAAACAAGAAAATATGAAAATTTTATTTTTATGCATATTTGCATCATTTAGTGACATAGTATGAATGTTGCATAGTTTCATCATTTAGTTACATAGTATGAAAGTTAAAGAGGTTTGAGACCTTAGATGTTCATGTTTCTCTAGAAAATAGATTTTTTTATAGAGGGTGTGTTCACTGATTAAATGGTATATGAAATTTAAATAAATTACTTGTTGGAGAATTAGAAATGATGTCCATGTACCATGAAAATAATTTTAACATACATTAATACAAATTTAGAATGTGCTTAGATAATTTTTAATGAACAATAAAGAGCCTAAACTTCTGAATATATCATTTTTGAAAAAATCAATTTTTTCGTAGGGGTAAACTCACATATTTTGAGAAAAATAAGAAAATATGAAAATTTTATTTTAATGCATATTTGCATCATTCAGTGACATAGTATGAATGTTGAAGAGGTTTGAGATCTTAGGTGTTCATGTTTCTGTAGAAAATAGAATTTTGTTTTTATAGGGGATTTGTTCACTGATTAAGTGGTATATGAAATTTAAATAAGTTACATGATGGAAATTTAGAAAAGATGTTTATGTACTATGAAAATAATTGTAACATACATTAATATAAATGTAGAATGTGATTAGGTACTTTTAATCAACAATAAAGTCCCTAAACTTCTGAATATAACATTTATTGAAAAACTTGATTTTTTCATAGGGTTTAACCAACACATTTCGAGAAAAATTAGAAAATACGAAAATTTTGTTTAATGCATATTTTTCATCATTCAGTTACATAGTATGAAGGTTAAAGAGGTTTGAGACCTTAGATGTTCATGTTTCTCTACAAACTAGATTTTTTTATAGGGGGTTTGTCCACTGATTAAATGGTCGAAATTTAAATTAATTACTTGTTGGAAAATTAGAAATGATGTCTATGTACTATGAAAATAATTTTAACATACATTAATACAAATTTAGAATGTGCTTAGGTGATTTTTAATCAACAATAAAGACACTAAACTTCTGAATAGAGCATTTTTTGAAAAAAATCAAATTTTTCATAGGGGTAAACTCACGTATTTTGAAAAAAATTAGAAAATATGAAAATTTTATTTTAATGCATATATGCATCATTTAGTGACATAGTATGAATGTTGAAGAGGTTTGAGACCTTAGTTGTTCATGTTTCTCTAGAAAATAAAAATTTGTTGTTATAGAGACTTTGTTCACTGATTAAGTGGTATATGAAATTTAAATAAGTTACATGATGAAAATTTAAAAAAGATGTTTATGTTGCATGAAAATACTTGTAACATACATTAATATAAATGCAGAATGTGATTAGGTACTTTTAATCAACAATAAGAGCCTAAACTTCTGAATATAGCATTTATTGAAAACTCGATTTTTTCATAGGGGTTAACCCACACATTCCGAGAAAAATTAGAAAATATAAAAATTTTGTTTTCATGCATATTTTCATCATTTATTTACATAGTATGAAGGTTAAAGAGGTTTCAGACCTTAGATGTTCATGTTTCTCTACAAAATAGATTTTTTTATAGGAGGTTTGTCTACTGATTAAATGGTATAGGAAATTTAAATAAATTAATTGTTGAAAAATTAGAAATGATGTCCATGTACCATGAAAATAATTTTAACATACATTAACACAAATTTAGAATGTGTTTAGGTAATTTTTAATCAACAATAAAGAGCCTAAACTTCTGACTATAGCATTTTTTTGAAAAATCAAAATTTTCGTAGGGGTAAACTCACATATTTTTTTAAAAAATTAAAAAATATGAAAATTTTATTTTAAAGCATATTTACAGCATTTAGTGACATGATATGAATGTTGAAGAGGTTTGAGACCTTAGGTGTTCATGTTTCTCTAGAAAATAAAATTTTGTTTTTATAGAGAATTTGCTCATTGATTAAGTGGTAAATGAAATTTAATTAAGTTCCATGATGGAAATTTAGAAAAGATGTTTATGTAGCATGAAAATAATTTTAACATACATTAACATAAATGTAAAATGTGATTATGTACTTTTAATCAACAATAAAGAGCCTAAACTTATGAATATAGCATTGATTGAAAAACTCGTTTTTTTTATAGGGGTTAACCCACACATTTCAAGAAAAATTAGAAAATATGAAAATTTTGTTTTAATGCATATTTTCATCATTTAGTTACATAGTATGAAGGTTAAAGTGGTTTGAGACCTTAGATGTTCATGTTTCTCTAGAAAATAGATTTTTTATAGGGGGTTTGTCCACTGATTAAATGGTATATGAAATTTAAATAAATTAGTTGTTGGAAAATTAGAAATGATTTCCATGTACCATGAAAATGATTTTAACATAAATTTATACAAATTTAGAATGTGCTTAGGTAATTTTTAATCAACAATAAAGAGCCTAAACTTCTGAATATAACATTTTTTGGAAAACTCTAATTTTTCGTAGGGGTAAACTCACATATTTTGAGAAAAATATGAAAATATGAAAATTTTATTTTAATGGATATTTGCATCATTCAGTGACATAGTATGAATGTTGAAGAGGTTTGAGACCTTAGTTGTTCATGTTTTTCTAGAAAATAGAATTTTGTTT